ATTTTTACACACGCACAGATATTTTGAGACTATTTTCACTCCATATAAATTGGGGTACAAGAAGGGTTACAGCCTGCAACAAAGAGCAACTCATGTTTGTTGTTGCAGTAGTATGACGCAAAGAGGCATCAGGTTCAACACTGCCTGCCCAGTGAGAGTCTAGCTGGTGGTGCAAACGCTCTCCTAAATACTCTGGATCATAAAATAGCGTACCAACCCCACCAACCCGTGCTGTACCACTCAGTGGAAATAAACTATTACATTATGTGAAGTAAAAGCCCTGGCATGAAAGCAATCCCGTTTTGGACAGCAGATCTCTGAATGGTCGGGTCTCTGCTGCATTTTGAACTGATTGGGTCTTACTGAGCGGATGTCAAACGCTGCAGCCTCAGCCTTCTCCTTGTTGCGACAGGCCAGGATCACTCGAGCTCCTCTCTTTGCCAGTTCCAGGGCGGTACTTTTCCCAATGCCAGTGTTGCTTCCTAGGCAGTAAAACCAATTCACAAACACATGAAACTCAACAGCTGATACAGCAATTCTTCATCAGAAAGCTAACCAAAGGCAAGACCCAAGATCCTTTTACAGAATCATTTCTGTCCATAGCATACTCACATTTATTGCATATTTTAAATGAAAAAGTGAAATTGATCCATTAATATTACAACCTTGATCTACATAAGGGGAGTAGTAATGCTCCTGTAGCTACTATGAACTGTTATCCAGGTTGTGAAGAGAATCTTTCTGTGAGAATCTTTTTGACAAGAATCAATGATTAAAAATAGTGTTCTATGATCAACATCATCTTCCTAAAACAAATTCCATTTGCAGGGATATACCAGTTATTTTGGTTTGTTCAAGGTCAAAATATGTCAGTCGAGTCCAAACAGAGATCAGAACTATAATAGCTGCTGGTCATTCCACCTCTCCATAATTTCCTGCCTTTCAGGTCTGGTTATTTCATGCCCAACTTTTTCAAGTCTTATCAACCTGCTGCAGGGCGTTTGGTAAATTCAACCACTCAGATTCTTCTTAAACTACCAAGTGGACGTTTTCTACCCACATTGAATATACTGTGGTTTATTTCTCCTTGTCTAAATCTACACAAAAATATTTACAGACACAGGAGTGTTTACAGGTACTAAAGTGGAAGTAGAAGGGAGAAACTGACCTCAAGTAACCAAAATGAAATAAATGAGGAGCTGAAAGATCTTGGGACATCAGGATTCTACCAGAATTACTTACACTTTCATAGAAAAATAGACTTTATATTCAAATGACAGAGCTGTATGTCATACCAGACCTTCAGCTGTAGGCTGTTTTTCAATGTGAATCATGCAAAACAAAAAAGTATTTACAGTGCATTTATTGTTGTTTTTTTTACTGTAAACAGCCAATGAAACACTTTTTATTTTGCTTAATTTTTTTTATCATTATTGCTCATGCTCCCTCAGTCTCATAAATGAGATTTTCTAATCTTTTCCTTGATCCATTTTAAAGCAATCAAGCTTCACCCATCTTAGTCCAATTAGAGCTGGAAAACTTATGCATTTAATTTTATTTTATTGATCAATAACCAAAAGTGAAAAGAAAAATGAGCCCCAAAGTGTTTTATCACTGATAAATGTTGCTCTATCGGGACAATGCTATTCATAGATATTTAAACTGACCCTATTGCCATCCTATTTTACTTTTTGTCAAGCAGTCTGGCAGTCTCACAGCTTAGGTTCAGATTTAAAACTGAATTGCTTTTATTTGACAATTAAAACACCAGGTTTGTCCCTACATGAGATAACCTATTTTCATCATCTGGTTCTTCTTGTTACAAAGCCTAAGTGCTTGCACTAATTACACTGAATAACATCCCTACTTCGTGTTTTCTATAAACTCTGTTACATTCTATTTCTTTTATTGGAAAAGTTTTTTTCCTTTCAAAATGTCAGATTAATACACCGCATAAACTGCAAATGATGGACTATGGGTAGAATATGGAAATGACTTTAAATTGATTGTGAAAACGTAAGAAATTTCTTGAGCTGTTTTATCCGCCTTTTCTGATAAAAAACGACCAAAACTGCAGAGGAATTTCTCCTGAAGCCGACGGAACCGGAAATGGACTTTAGTTTCTTGTTTTGCTCTTTTTCAGAAGTTTTTTTGCATGTGGTTTAAACAAACAATGGATTCGTTTACCTGTTACAACAACAGTCTTCCCCTTCAGCCAAGCGGGACTCAAGCATCTCGTTCCTTTAAATAGGCCGTAAAAAACCAGAACATAGACCCAAACAGCTGCTGCTACCAGATACAAATACATGCTGGTGTCTGAGTCTGTCAGTGTTGGCCTCTCTGTCTTCTTCTTTTCTACACATTTGACTCAGGTCTTATGACTGTTGGGCAAATTACTGCCATCTTGTGGCCAACTAATATACCACTTTGCCAAGTACTCCATATAGTCCAGGTGATTTTTTTCGGGTGTACTTTTACCCACAGTATTTGGTGCTCCTGAAGAGAAAGGGTTTAAAACTGTGAGACTGGCGGTGTTTTGTGGGTGTGTAACCGTCCCACCTCAACTGTTATAACAAAGAGGTGCAGTTCTTCCACCAGGAGGGGTCAGTGCAAGCAACCTGGGTTTGATCTCCCCTATATTTTGTAAGATGTTCTAAGCCTTACCTGACCTGCTGTGTGTTACTCTGAGCCAGTTGGTTCTTCATTTTCATTGTGAATTCTGCTTTTGCGGTCTGGATGCCTCTTCTTAGGTCCCAGCTGTAGTTGGCTCTGTCTCCACATCTGAAGGCTGCATTTCTGGCTTTCAACAGATGTTGAACTTTGTTGGTCATCCATAGTTTACGGTTTGAATGGAGTTTGATATTTTTTTATATACCGTCACATTTTCAGTGCTGGTTTTGATATAACACAGTACAGCTTCTGTGTATTCTTCCAGAGACTGATGTGCGAAACAGTCCTGCATCCCAGCCAGATTGCCTTCTGGCCAGGTCTGAATGGTCTTGGTGTGCCTCAAAACTTTATTCTAACAGCCGTGTATGCAGGGAAGAGAAACATATCACATTATATGTGATCTGAATGTCCCTAGAAAGGGAACTGCTCTTTATGCTTGCTTAATGTTGCATTTGTTAAAGAGCTTGCAACGTGGTCAAATGTGTTGCTGGCTCTGGTGGCACAAAGCACATATCGCACAAATTTTGGCAACAGTCTATGAGCAAGCCTGAATCTAAAATAACACCAAGCTTATCTGGTTTTTATTCATGAAAATTTTCATTTTAGTGACTAAATGGTCATATGTTATAAAGTTGTATATTCCCCGAAGTTGGTACTGACAGATATTTCACCTCAGACCTTGACTGGTTCCTGTGGGTAAAACTTCACCAGAAAGCTATGATAATTTAAATGAAGCTCTTTAACAAGGGCCCAGTGTGATTAGTTTATAATGTAATTAAATAAATGATGACCAAATAGGCATTTGCACTTAGTGAACAAAGGTTTCACTGACTGATCCTGGCATGACTAAACATTTAAAAAAAACTGGGAGGGACCATGGTGAGGGGGAAGGGTTTATTCTAGATTTGCTTTTAAACCTGTCTTTACAAAACAATGGATACTTTGCGAAAAGTCCCCTCCTATAGTTCCACTGCCATCACAGAAAACTGATTGTCGCTCACTCTAAACATTGCACAACACTGGTTTTAAGTGAAGTTTCTAGTCCTGAAAACACATTGTCTGTTTTTTGGGCTTACAAACACATTCCTACTGGGAATAGCAGCTTAGTCATAACCAAACCTTCAGGTTCCACTGGTCTGTCAGTGGAAGACGAGGTGTGTGAGCCGACCTCACTTCTATCTGATCTTGTCTTTCCTGACAGTTTCACACAAAAACAAAGTACAATTTTGTTCATTTGCCTGCAATGCTATAATTTCCATTTTGCGTGAGCCACCTGAACATTAAGTTAGCACATTCGCCAGACTAGTCAAAAAAAATATCATGAAGAGAAGAAAAAAAGTATAATTCACGCCTGACTATAAGCGGCAAGACCGGCCAAACTATGAGAAATTAAAAATGTGACTAATAGTCCAGAAAATATGGTATCTAGCATCATACCCACATGATCCCTAAATAATGTTTCAGCCAAACAACAAAACGTTTCCCAGGAAGCTACAGTCAGATCCTAATCTCATTAACACATTTAGCCTTTCTGTAAAAGCTATACTTTAAAAGTCATTTACAAGATAATTTAAATGCACTCGCTGATTGAGTTGAAACTAAAGCAGCTAAATAAAGCCTCTAGAAAACAGTAACTAATTCCAACAGAAATAAAAATAAATTGTGATTGGAGCGATGCGTCCAGGTGTGAACCCTGTGTCATCCTCCCATGAGAGACAACACAAACAGCAATGTGGATCCACTGTCTGAAGAATGACGAGCTTCAGTTAGGGTTAAATATTTCTACATCAGCATCACTGTTGTACTTTTCCAGTTAGAGGTTCTTGACTGTCTGCTTGCTAAAACCACACAGTGGATATGTGTGGTATATGTGTCCTATATTTTATTTAAATATAAGATAATAATACTCTGCAATTCTGGAAAGACAGTGATTAGCCTTTAAGCTGTTTTATATGATTTTCATTAAAAACAGATTGAAGATTTAAGTAATCTCTGTTATTATTGATAAAACAGAATCTTAAATAATCAGGGTCTTTTTATGTCATTTGAAATATCTACTAAAGCATTTTCTCTTACGTCATCCAGGTAAGAAGCTGACAGTTGGATCCTGGCACCCCACCCATCCTGTTACCCCACCAAACCTGCGAAACCAGTAACCACTCAAGAGAAATCTCCCAACTGGTTATTTTCCATCAATGTTTTTTTTCCCTCTTTAAAAACATTTTGAAATCTTCAGTACTAATTCATTAGTCATTACTAAAACAGATGCAATACATTTAAAACGTGAACACAAACAGGTTAGACTTCTGGGTATGAGTAAATGTTATCCTTACACATTACACATCTAACAGAGATACAGACGAAGAAAGTTTAATCAAGGGGTTCACATCCGAAACACATCTGAGCTCTAGTGAAAACTGTTGCCTTCAGGTGGCTCAGAAAGACTCTTCAGACTTCCATTACTATACATTTGGTCATGCATTGTAATACTTGCCAACATTTCACCTTCCATCACTTGATTAGTTTTAGCCAAAGTTTTCAGTCAGTTAAATCAAGCGAGGCCATGAAGTTACACCTACTACCAGCTAGCAGAAAACACGGAGGCTTCTCCTACTGCCTTAGAGAAGGCCACACAGTCGCTCACTGATCTCCCACAGTTTCTTTGCAGCAGCATCATCCCTGGCTTTAGCAAACAGATCTCTAACGGTGCAGTTGGAGAAGTAGCATCCACTGAGGGGTTCTATGCCCTCCTGCAGGGCACAGTGGAGGGTGGTCTGGCTTCCCTGGATGGTGTTCTTGAAGAAGAAGGCGGTGATGGGTTTGAGGATGATTTGTAGGAATAGGCCAGTGTTCCTACCAAGCTCTGAGCTGATGGCTCCTGCAACAACACAAAATAAATGAGGTGGACCGATAAATGATGCTTGTCACGCCTGGTTGGTAACCTGTTGCACAAATACAGCAGGTGAGTATGTCCCTCCCTGAAATCTCAGTTGTTCTAACATATTTTTAAACTTAATTCAGTAAGCATTGTACCTTGCAAACGCATAAATGTGTATGTGTCAGAGAGTTCTTCATCTGTTTCACTCCTCATAGTGGCTGTTTAACTGAACGCGAGCAACATTTGTTCTGCTTCACATCACATTTTGCTGATTAACATATTTGTCAGGTCAAATGGAAACTGAAAGATCCTCCAGTGGATCAGAGAGAAGCATGTTGTTGTTTTTAGCTGTTTTTGGTGTACAGCACAACAGTGTTGTTTTAAAGTGCTTTATAAATAAAGTTGTATATTTTTGAAAGTCCTTCCAACAGGAGCAGACCGAAGCTGATTGGCTAACATGCACAGTTCAGAAGCCATTTGATTTGTTAAAGCTTGGTTCAAATTAGTTTATGCTCGCAGAATGCCATTTTGCATTTAGAACAATTTGAATGAAAAATATGGTACAGAGTCTAGAGATGAACTCAAATGAATTGGTGCAACAAAACTATATAAGAACTGAAACTACCTACAAACTGAACTAACACTGTTGAGACATGTGAGTCATAATCCTCCCATAAAGATGAATGGATGAGTGATCAGACCACAGAGATCACCGCTGCAACATAATGCTAAAAATGGTTTGACAACCAAACTCAATAACTCATATTTGAGCCTAACACAAAATACAAATAGCATGATTAACTGGGTCATGCATATCTGAACCTGCTTTATATCTATGAACATGCATTTTAGTAACTTAGACAAAAACTCTATGATGTATAAATGAGTTTGGATCAGTTACTTGACAGTGACCAAAACAGAGATAAAAGCTCTAGTATTCTTAACAGTTTCACTTTAAAACTCCGTGGTCTTCATTACAGCAGTAGCTAGATTACTTCTTGATTCATCTGAACGACATCCACTGGGCTTCACTCTGTCCAAACATAAACTGCGCTCCGTTACTGACCTGGGTGGAGAGCGTAGCAGGTGACCTGAGTTCCTCGCAGCCTCTTGGCTAGCTCGTGGTTGAAGAGAACGTTGCACAGTTTGCTGTCGCAGTAGATCTGGAGAAGGTGTATGAAGGATGTCCCCAAGCCCAGAGCTTTGTGACTGTTCAGGCAGTCGAAATCTATTTTTCCAAAGTTGTGCGCCATGGACGACACATTGATTATCCTGCTGGGTGCGCACTCCTTCAGTCGGTCCAACAACAGGTTGGTCAGCAAGAAATGACCCAGATGGTTGACACCAAACATTAATCCAAATCCATCCTCTGTCTGACCCTGTAGGCAGACACCTGGAGCCAAATACAATGAGAGTATTCATCAGTAAAGATGTCAAGTTAAAAAGAACTTATTTCATCTGACCTTTCTCAGAGGTCATACTTTTTCCACATTTCAGTTGAATAAAACAGTCAGGGCTATCTTGACTTCGCAGATCAAGCATGAAATCCTGTAGACTAAGATGATTGTGAAATAGCTGTCTAAGTATCTGCTATCTTAGATTCTTATCATTTTGACAATTGAGAACAAAACAAGCAAACATAGCAGATGGGAAGCACCTGCTTTGAACAAAAGTTTAAAGCAATGGAATTTACTTAAAAACAGTCCTAAGAATAATCAGTCTTGATATCATGGATGATAGTGTAGATGGTATGTAGTTGAGCAGTCCTACCTGCGTTATTGATCAGAATGTCCAGTCTAGGTTCAGACTTCAGAAAAGACTCTGCAAAACTGCGAATAGACTTGAGATTTCCCAGATCCAGCTGCATGAACACCACCTGGCTACTTCCACTCTCCTGCAACAGACAAGAACCGGAGAGCAGTCAGTCAGCCTGCTCCAGACTAACAGCTAGTTTGTGACAGGTTGATTTTCCACAAAATGTCTCCATTTATTACAAATACAAATATCTCTATTTATTTGTTATTATCATCACAACCTTCCACTGTTCCTGGCCAAGAAAGAAACAGACAACTATGAACTCCTCACCCTTCTGATCTCCTCCAGAGCAGCTTCTCCTCTCTGCTTACAGCGGCAGGCCAGAATCACTCGGGCTCCTCTCTGAGCCAGGTCTATGGCCGTCGTCTTCCCTATGCCAGTGTTGCTGCCTGCAAATGAGAAACAGCAGTCTCAGGCTAAAGTAAGGCAGGAGAGAAGAGTAGTAGAAAATAAAAAGTTGAATTACCAGTGACAATCACAGTTTTCCCATGAAGCTTTGCTTTGCTCGTGCATCTCTCGCCCTTCACCACAATGTGACGGTAAATATAAGCAATTCCTATAACGACGCCAACAACCAGGAGCACAACAGACATGTTTCCTGCCTCTGAGCCTCACAGCACTCTCAGCTCTTTTCCGTTTTAACATTCTCTGTCATTCCAGCCAGGCAGCACCCATGATCTTAGTGGGCGGGACTCCAACCCTCATCATCATCATCACACTGCACCACCCACAGAAAGAAAAGAGCCTAAAAATTCTCAGAAGATCCAGGTGATCCATGATGACTTAAAATGTAATAATGGGATAACAAACGTGACTTATCAACTTATTTTTTTTAAACAGAGTGTCAAGGGAGGTTTATGGTTGGACAAAGGAAGTTAAGTAGCTTCTTCAAAGATTTTTATGTAATACTTTTCATCCTTGTTTGGATGACTTTTTATCCATACGGAATTGGATTCCTCCAGTTTACCATCAACAGTTCAGATATTTCTCCTGGCAACAGAAAATCTTTTTTGGTTCCAGATATTCACAGCAGAATTTTATATAAAATAAAACTGTAGAAATCTGATATAGAATCATTCCAAAGAGGATCTCACATCATTCAGTGTAGTGTTAAACATACATTATGTATTTTTAAAATGAATAAAAACAGTCAATAGAAACATAGATAAATGGATTTATTGTTCTTAACTTGATGGGTGAGCTGTTTCAGCAATCAAATTAGCAAAGACCAATGAAGTTGATCAAAAATAATTAGAATTTTAAACTTTTCCTTAATTGCAACCAAATTGATGGTTTCTGTAATAGCTAAAGTCATACTGTATGATCAATGGTCAAAGAGCCAATAAATGTTACAATTCCAGCTTGTATTAACAACAATCCAAGTTAGGACTTTTACGGTCATGTTAAGGAATCTTGTACATGGAAAGAAAACTGAACATAATGTGCATATATCACAAGCAGATATTTTACTTTTTATCAGTGGTTAGAATCTTATTGCTTTTGTAAAACTGAAACAGGTGCAAAGTCAACAACCTAATATTGTTATATCTTAACACTCTAAGATGTAAATTGCAAAAATAAACTGTCTTTTTACAAAGGGACACAAATGAACAAAATTCAACAAATTAGGATTATCCAGGTGGTGTCCAAAGGTGTGACCAATACAGGGACTGGGCTCTTTTTTAGTGGGACAACGCCAGATGCCTGGCGTCTAACAGAACCAGTTTGAGCAGAAGAGTCACAAACTGCATGTTCTGACTTCAGTCTCATTCTTTAATGTTCCACTTATCTAAATACCATGACAGCTCCTGAATAAGATAACAATCACGGTCAAATCGGTGGAGTGTGTTCCACACTGTCAACTTCAACAGAACAGAACCACATTAGAGCAAAGATGGTTCTGGACATCAGCAGCCAAAGAAGTCACATGGCAGTGTAGAAGTCAGACCTGAAGGAGAATACCACAGAAATGTTCCTACTAACACAGACACAAAACAAACACAGAACACAATATAAACCACTGAAACGGTCCGAGGTTGCAAAAAATACTATAGAACAATGCCACCTGTCGTGCATTTATATGAACTACAGTAAAGATGACATGAAGAGCAAAGAAATTACCTGGCAAACCGGAAGAACTGGAGAGTAGCAGAGAGGATGATGAACCAGAGAACTCAGAGGACGCTGTGCCCAATCCGCAGTTCAGCGAACCCAGGATACTAGACCTAAAATGTTTTACCCAAATATTCTAAGTTTTAAGTCCTGGTGGTACCACAGAGCCTCATTATAAAACAGAGAACACAGAGGCAGTACGTGTAGCAGTTATTATGGTAACACTTTATTTGAAGGGGGTTGAATAAGACTGTCGTGACACTTTCATAAACATGTCATAACACCTGTCATGAACATGAATAAGTCTTCATGAATATTTATGACTGTTGTCAAAGCGCAGCCCTCTTCTTCCGGTTAATTATTCAGTCACGACAAAATCATCTCCAAATAAAGTAGTGTTTGAGGGGAACAACAGACATTAGTGAACGCAAAGTAAAGGAGGAACTCTTTCAGATAAAGGGCCAACCGCTGCCATTAAAACGTATTCTTGAACATGGAGTGCTTCTCAAAGCCCTACAGGCATTTAGCTCAAGGTTGATCAAATTTATGAACGCTAATGTCGGCCAGCGGGTCTGACGACGCCAGTTTTCCTTAGACTGTTTTTGACCATTTTTTAAACCATAAAATAACTTTACATTGACTGCATTATTACAACTAGGATAGAATTGGAAATTTTGACTTTGAAGCTGAATATAATTAGATTGAATTGTTGAAATATTCATGTATAAAATAAATTGATTTTCTAAAGTACTTGGAGACATTTGCAAGGTGATGACTTGTGTAAAAACATTTTGAAAACTATAATTTTTATAACACTTGCCTATCATAAGGGCTATTAAAAAAATCACAATACATTTAGAGTTGCATTGTAACTGAGAATGTTTTTAAACCTTTATAGTCTTGATATGTAGTTTAAATCTAAGGTGTTTAGTAGATATTTCCATATCCTTTGATGGTTTCTGTCTGCATATGAGGTTTGTTATTAAAAAGCTTGTACGGTGTGACATAATGCCAGCTTTAGCGCTCTCAGTTGCTGCTGGGTAGCTGCTAACAGGTGTGGCTACCTTAGTTTTAGCTCTACATCCCCCACACCCAGTTAGCGGGGGGGGGGGGGTTTGCAGCAGTATTGTTGCTGACATTTCTGAAACGAATAACCAATCTCCAGGAAAATGTGAACTAACTACAAAACGATAAGCTATCACACTCGAACAAAGTTTGTTATTAAAAAATCTTTCTGTATTTACAGGTTTTAACAGACAAGCAGGTACAGACAAAGAGTGCCTATATACAGAGCAACACATGATGTTAAAATGAGTGCTAAAACATTATGGTATAGACAGATGGACTACAGCAGAGGTACACGATTAGAACAAGTTTTATCACAAACTGCAGGTACTCTACACAGTATCACAAATTGCATGAACTGTACAGTTAAAAACCAAAAAATGGTAAATCTACATGAAATCCAAAGTTCCTCCAGCTGAGAAACACTGAATTATTTTACATTTACAGTATGTATACATATAGTGTGTAAGCCTGTATGATTACATACATTTATAGCTACCTGTGGTGCAAAAGCAGCAAAAGAAATTACAATGCATGGAATTCAATACTAGGAGGGAAAAAAAAAAAAAAAGGTCACTGCTAAATGGTTCCGACCGACACAGTAAGGTTACATCATACATAACTAATATATACTGTGGAAAAGAAATGAGCTCAAGTAAATAATCTTTGCTCAAAGTCCTAACGGTCTGAAGTGAAAACAAGGTTACGGTCAGTCATTCTCAAACAGAAGAGATTGTCATTAATACTTCAAGTTCATGCAAATATAAACAATTTGAAATGGAAAAAAATAAAGTATTCCCTGTTGACCATCCTGCTGGGTAGCTTTCTCCTCATAGTGACACAGAAGGTGCAAATAAAAGAGGGCGGGAGGTTGAGGGGGGGGTTATGGGACAGAGTTGTAGCGCAGCACGGGCACTTGGTGGGGGGGGGGCAGCTCTGTGTCCGCCTCGTCCTGGCTGGAGGGGCTGCTCGCCATAGCGGTGCTGGGTGGGGGGCGTGGGGGTGTGGAGGTGGAGGCAGGAGCAGAGCTTTGGCTACTGCTGCCGGTGCAGCCAGCAGGGGGCGCCACAGGCGGCTCCTCATCAGCAAACTCAGTGATGCTGAAGACGAACTGCAGGCAGCCCAGCTTGATGTAGCTGCCGTGGTGGAGCAGGGCGGTGCCCTCCCAGCCGGCGCCGCTGCCGCCGATCAGGCTGGAGCCGCTCACCTTGCAGCTGCACGCCGCCGCCGTCGCGCCACCCTGCGGCTGGCTGCTCATCACGCCGCCCGCTGGCATCACACCCACAACCTTGTCCTCCTCCCTCTTCTTACTGCGACCTGCACACATCACATGACACATAGCAGGTCTGACAGGCTGCAGGAACACGTCGTCATGGTGACCAGCAGAGCAGAAACACTACGCATGTTCTGAGTCAAAAACCAGTCAACAGGTTTCTTCTTCTGTTGTTCTAAAGAAAAAGAATGAACTGGATATGAACTCAAACATCCTGATTCTATTCCCGTTTCACCGGAAGGAAAAAGATTCATTTTACTGAATATGCAGAACACATATTGAATTGTTCTGGGGATAAATAGATCAAAATTTAATCTGAAAAAGTGTTTTCTAAACAAGTTTTCTAAAGAGGAAACTTAAGGCAACAAGTAAGATGAAAACAAACCCCAGCCTGTCTGAACTCTGGTCCAAACACCACAAGTCAATCCAGATCCAAACCAAAACGATGGATTTGACAAAGAAAAACAGGGAATATTATAGAATTTTTATATTTAATGCTAAATGTGGTGAAAGCTTAAAGTGGCGATGTTCCGTTGCCTGTAAGCCTGGCTGTTCTGTGGCCCACTCAACTGACCCGGGTCAGAGAAGCAGAACTCTGCTTAAGTTCTGAAGCTGCTCTGTTAGGAAAGGTGAAGCAAAGAGAACTGAGCAATCAAGCAGGTCTGGACAACACGGCTGAAAAATGGATCACTATGTAAGCGTTTCATAATAATATTGATAATTATTGATTTGTTTTTTGTTTATGATGTCTGAAATACGTCAGTCTGGTGATATGATCTTTCCTCTGTTATCCAGTTTCCACTCCATGCTGTTATTTTTTTTTTTATTTCAAGCCACTTTGAGGCACGCTGGAAAAACATGAAACTGCTTCTGCTCAAGTTACTCAACAGAAGCAGTTGTTGCTCGGTAACCCAAGAGTGAGTTAGTTGATAATCACCTTGTTATGAGAGGTTGAGCACCTAAAGTCTTTCCTCTGCCTACATCTCCCAGAATGCTGTGCGGTTCTGGATCAGAGTTCATTGAATATTCTATCAGATATATTTTCTACTGATATTGATCTTGTGTCTGTCTATATCAGCTCTACGATCCCAGTTAGGAAACACACTTCCCCCATGATCGCAGATCCTGTATGCGGACAGATGAGCATTTAACTCACTTTTTCAGGTCGTTGTTTTGAAATAAATAATGA